TTTTCTTTGCTGATCATTTTGAACATAAAAAATCATAAATCCATTGCAAAAAAAAATAATTTCGTGAAAGTGAACTATTTCCTTTAACAACCAACTTCAAAATTTGACCTCACTTCATCATCAGCATCATCATAACCAAGTTTATTAAACAGAAAATACGGGCTGAACTTGTACAAAATATAAGACAGGCGCAAAAGCAAAAGCTTAACTCAAAGCGCCTTGTCTGAATGACATACATAAACAAATGTAAACACCGCTGCGACTTGACCTGACCTTGACCTGACCTCGACCTGAAATTTATCCAGAGGTGGTCCATATCACTTATTGAGTGTGCCTATTTAATTCTATGAATAAAATGACCCATAAAACATGTGTCGCACATGCCCTTTTCTATATTTTGTTTTTGGTGACCTGACCTAACCTGACCTGACTTGACCTTGACCTTGACCTTTGAATGATATTGTATGCAACGAATATTGTCTTGGTAGCTTAAGAACACGTTTTGGGCAATCAGTCTCAGTCCATTCTTCGGCAACTACAGTGCAAGGCTGATACTGTTGAAACTTGCATTTTGTACCCTTGACCTGACCTTGACCTGACCTCTGACCTACTTAAGCAAAAAAATGGGCTCTTAAGATCCGCCTTGTTGAGAGCTTTTGATTGCCGTTTTTCCCGTCTTTCTACGACCATCGGTTCGGAAGTTAGCCCGCGACCGCCTGGGGGGGGGGGGGGTCGGATCCGACCCCCCCCCCCTCCGTTTTTCTTGAATAACTCATGAACCACTTTCGTTATCAACTTGAAACTTGGCATACCTTCTCCCCTATCAATTTGACGTCTCCTGTGCAATTTTTAAGAAAAATTTTCAAAATTTTTTGAGATATATCGATTTTAGTGATGTAACTACATGGCGTTTTTAGTCAAAAAGTGGTAAATGTTTAAAAAATCGTCAAAAATCAGGGTTTAAAGCAAATTGCAAATTAAGGACATGAAAAGACGCAGCTCAACGAGTTCTTTAAAATGGCTATCTCGGATTTTCCATAAAATGCGTTTTTCACCCCTAAAAATTCAAAAAACTATATTTTTTGGAAAACAGCTAATAAAATCCAAAATTTTGGGAATTTCCAAAAAACCGGAGTATATGTTGTAGAGCTCTATTAGAACATAAGATGCCCCAAATTTCAACTTTCTATCTTGATTTTTGACCCCCAAATTGTAAAAAATAGCTCCAACATGTATAGGGCATGGTGACGTCATAAGAATTTTCGTGAATTAGAGGTACTTCTGAACATCGCATGTGAAAACAAATGGCACCACTAGATTCCTGGGACAAAGCTCGTCTAGAAAAGTGCATTTTTATGTCAAAAATAAAAAGTTGAAAAATTGACCTTTTTTCTCAGCCCTCGTATAGTATAAACGATTTTTTATGCTTTCAATGCACACTTATCACCAGCACAGTGACTTGGGGTCACATATAACCATTACCATCGGATTCGGCGTGAAAAATAAGCCATAAAACATGTGTCGCACGCCCATATAGCAGAAATTGAAAACCGTGACCTTTCGTGACCTGACCTGACCTTGACCCGTACTTAGTATGACCCCTATACACACATGGTACCTTCACTAGGTCTTTGAGGTCATTTTTGGTGAGTTTCGAGCAGCAGCTATCGATTCCGCTGTCCGTAAGCCTATTCATGCAAAACCCCTGAATTTGACCTTTGACCTGACCTTGACCCGAAAGTTGACCTCAATCTTAAAATCTTAAGAGTGCTTTGGGAAGGTCTCGTAGAGACCTTTCGAACGCCGCCTCGCGGGACTCGATACGACCATTGGTTCTCGAGATAACAGGGGGGGGTCGGATCCGACCCCCCCCCAGGCTGTCGTGGGTACGGAAATAGCCCAGGCGGTGCCGGGTTAGACAGGGGGGGCAGAATCAGCCCCCCCCAGCAGGGCACGTATGGCTGAATAGCCCAGCGGGGCGAGGGATAACTTTGAAGTATTAACGTTAGCGCTATGGCGTTGCTTTGTAAAATAATTTTCAAAATTATGAATAAAAGTAACAATAGGTAGGCCCAATAGGTATGTATCTGGGCCCTAACAATAGGTAGGTATATTTCATAAAGTGACGCCATGTTATGAAGTTGATACTCTATTTTTCGTTAACAGGAGCAATGTCAAAAGTAGTCATTCCACTGCTCCCACAAAGCCATAGGGGCATTAACACAAATTATATTGTTCAATGACAAAAAAAAAACGTCATGTCAAATAAATGAGAAGCAAAATAATTAACTTGCCCGTGAATTTTGATCCACGAAAACTAAAGGTAGGGTAAGAGTACGCAATCCAATCCTGCGTACTCTTACCTCCATGATCAATGCGTACTCTTACCCTACAATGTAGGACGTCTTAGGCCTCATGACGTCTTAGGATCGTTGTGTCTTCCGGCCGTCGGTTCTCGTGGTATGACGCGAGCAACCTGCGAGCTTTGCTGTCGCACAATTCATCCAGACGTTCGATACCGCATCACGGGTCGCGGGCCCCGCCGCGGCGCGTCGGAATTGGTCCCGGCCGCGCGCGCTTGGTGTCGCCAGCTTTTACTCTCAGCGTGTCTTACGCGGAGCTCACTACGGCGGAGCCGGTGTATCCGCTGGCCGTGGGCTCTCCTGGCAGGAGACGTACGGATCTGCAATACTTGCTCTTACACAATCAATCCAAAAGTTCGATGCCTCATCACGGGTGGCGAGCCCCGACACGGCGGGACAGAATATGGTCCCGGCCGCGGGCGCTCGGTGTCGCGTCATTGGCGCTGGTCTTCATCTGCCTTGCGGCGGTACCTCCGCCGGTGTGGGTCCCTGCTGCAGCTCGGCTCAAGTTCGCACTGACGTCGCCCAGCCCGGACTGCGAACCCCGGCCGCCTGCGCGGCGACAGGTGGGCCGACACGGCGGCCGCCTGGGGGCGGCCGGCCGCGGGCTACCGCACGGCAGCGAACGGGCTCGTTGGCGAACTGTACGTCCTTCCGGCTGGCGTCCCCGATACGGCGGCTGCCCTAATGGGCGCCGGCCGCGGGGCCGCGCGGACCGTTCTACGTGTTTACATTTGTTTATGTATGACATTCAGACAAGGCGCTTTGAGTTAAGCTTTTGCCTTTGCGCCTGTCTTATATTTTGTACAAGTTCAGCCCGTATTTTTTGTTTAATAAACTTGGTTATGATGATGATGATGATGACGTGCCGCTAACTCTGCGCCCCTCATTTCATCACGTTGGTGTGCGTCGTTCATGTCATATCGCGGCGCACGGGCGCCGTTCGTGCTCACTCAATTCAGGTGTATGATGTGGTGGATGTGTATCGTCGCATTTCATGTTATGTGATGTCATGTTATGTTATGCCGCGATGTGTACATACCCGCTCCATCTGATGGTATGCGACCCTAGTCGCGTGAGCGTACCTCTCTGTCCGGCTGTGCCCCGGGCTCGTGTACAATCCAGACACCAGCCGCGTCGGCCCCGACACGGCGGCTACCCTGAGTGCCGGCCGCGGGGCCGTCGTGCCTGCCCTCTGCACCATGTGCCATCATCTCTACCGCCTATCGCGGTCGCGCGGCGCGGTCTCCCAATTGTTCGTTGCATAGTTTAAAGCATATCACAGCGCACGGGCGCCGTTAGCACTCACTCAATCATGCTGTGTGGTGGACGTGTCTCGTTGTGTTTCGTATCACTTCGGCTTGTGAGCCGGTTCGCTTCGTTGTTCCGATGCCCACGTCGGGTGCGTGGTTTTTTTTTCGCCCGGCTGTGCCCCACACTCGTGTATTTAACAGCAGGCCGCGTCGGCCCCGACACGGCGGCTACCCCGAGTGCCGGCCGCGGGGCCGTCGTACCTGCCCTCCGCGGCGTGTACCGTCACGTTACTATCTCTCCCCGTCGCGCGCCTCGCGGTTCGGTGGGGTGGTTGGGCTGTTCCACCTCTCCAAAAAACACTATGACAATGTTTTTTGCAAGCGCGAGGGCGGCGACGGATAAATGGCAATTTATGCGCCAACGGCGTATAAAGACTTTTATCGGTCGTCGCCAACTTAAGCGCTTGTCAACCTGCGGCGGCTGAGCCGGCGCGGCGGCGGCGCCGCACCCGCAGTTGACGCAGCGACAGGCGACGCAGAGCCAGCAAAAAAGTCGTTGTTCGCCCGCCGCCACCCCAACGCCTCCTGTGCCTTGTTCGTTTATCTTGCTTTAGGCGGTGCTAATGCTGTGTGCTCTCTGTACTGGGCTGTTCCACCTCTCTTCCACCTCTAGGACGTCTAAGGCCTACATGCGTTTCGCACATAGAACAGCCCCGAAACATCGTGCGGAACTTCACAAACGGAATATTGCACCGCACAGTACTTTCAAGACAACCTCACAAGTTTCACACAACAATCACGAAAATGTACCTTATCTCAACTACCAATTATCATGATTATTGTAACATAGCAAAATAACTATCAATACCCTACAAAATAATATTCCTCACCTTAAATTGAAAAGCGTCGCCGCAGCACGCCCCTCTTTCTTTGGTGACAAATACGCACTGCCGGCTTCCTGTTGCATCATGAATTTGACAAGCCGGCGTTGCTAGGCAACGGAACAGCTGATGCGTACTCTTATCGCCCGCGTACCCCGCCCGCCCTTACCCTATAATACAAAATTCACTTTCATAAATTTTCGGCTTTTTTTAGTACGCATTTGACATCATATATCGATATAAATAGCACCATCCATAGACCTCTGTACCTACACCTGGACCGGACATAGAAAATCTGGCCATGACCACAACGGCCCTAAGAGTAAACGATTATTTCTCGAAAGCCAAGTTACCTAAGACGCTCATTTTTTCACCGCCGCACAGCCCCATTCAATGAAAATGATAAGGGTCATTCGCCGAACCGATATGATGTGACGCGTGAGCACCTGCACTTTCAATGCAGGTGAAATTTCACACTGCAATTTCGCGTTACCGACCCTCACCTTATTTCGAACCAGTCGCAGCAGCTCAAATGTGGTCGGCTCTTTGTAGCTCTTGAAGGAGCTTTTGTCCAGTGAGGTGTCGATTATTTTTCTCCAGTCCTTGGGCTCACCTTGCTCCTCTCCGAACACCCGAGTGGGATCTTTATTGACAACAGCTCTCAACTCTTCGTCATTTCCATCTTTGATGACGTCACTAATGACCTGAAAACAAAGTGAAATATATACATAAACAAATATAGGCATACAACATGTATATACGTGTACAATGTACACTATCCCGGCAGGCGGTGGGGGGGGGGGGGCATTTTTTGCCCCCCCCCCCGTATCTCTGAAACTACTAAGCGGATCCGCAAAATTCAAACGGCGTCCGAAAGCCCTGTCAAATTTTCCGGGGTAATTCTAATATCATTGACTTTGGGGCCACCGATGACGTCACAGGTCAGGTCAAAGACAAAATGTTTGGCAGTTCACCAGTCTTCTAGGGAATGCGCTATAGCATCGAGAAAAGCGCATTTTATCGAAAATCAGCGATAGGGCGTCAGTTGCATAGTACATACTAGTATATTGCTATTAGAGGTCACTGATAATACCAGGTCAGGTGACAGGTCAGGTCACCAAGGGTCACCACATAAACCCAATTTTCCTAGAGCTGTGCGATGCATGTTTTATGGTCATTTTTTTCATTTCAAACTTAATGGTGCTGGTTATAAGACCATCAGGAACGGTTTAGGTCACTTTCTGGTGGAGTTTTTTTTTCGCTATAACTTGGTGAAAAAAATAGATATCGTTCTAGAATTTTGTATGTAAATAACAGTGAGTAGGGGCTATCACATATATCCTGTTTTTTGAAAATCAAAAAACTTCTTGGATTTTTTGGCTATTCAATTAAAAAAAAGTAGGGGGGTTCAAAGTTCAAAAATTTAACAATTTTGAGATGGAAGTTTAGTAGCCCTAGTGATTCTTCACCTTTTATGTCTTGAACATTTTTATGTAACTTCAAATCTATAGGCCTGACATATCTTCCCGGGAAACTTTTTTTTTTGGTCGAAAAATGGCAAAAATGACGTCACTCTGACGTCTGGAGATATATTGAAAAAAACTAAAGGTCGGCAAAAAATCCCCCCCCCCCACCGCCTGGAAGGCTATAGCCAGGGAGGCACCGGTTCTGACGTCACACGAAAATGTCAGTCGGCTGGTTGTGGCACTGCCCCCTGCCGGCGCGACTGTGCTGCCACCTAGCTAAGCCTAGTCAGCCTAGGACGGGACGGTTCAATTTCTTTTCGTCGAGTGGGGCGGCTTGCGACGACACCCGGTCGACATGGCTGTGCTCAGTAGCGGCGTGTTGTGTTGCGATCCAGCCCCCGCACGGCTGCTGGCCGTGCCTGCGCGCGCCTCTGCCGCTCACACCGTTGGCCGCCCCAGCTCGGCGCCTGCAAGCGCCTCTGCCGCCGCCAGCTGACGGTGCGCGCCGAGCGGCACGGCTGGCGCGGGTGACGAGGGGCGGCGCACGCCATACTTGTTGTCTTTTGTGTATAATCTCGGCCTCGCTCGGATCACGGTCCAATAAATCGCGTTACTCATTATTCCTCTCTCACTCTGAACCGACGAACAGAAACATAACACGGCGGAACACCTTCAATATTAAGGGGGGGGGGGGGCACCGCCGACTTTTGGTCCCACTCTTTCCATGTAACGCCCATAGGGCTAATGTTAAAATACCAAAATCAAAGGGGGGCACGGTGCCCCGGTGCCCTCCCCGTTCCGCCGCCTATGGGTGCTGCAGCATACCTCAGGTTCCGAGTCTCTCGGACGGCCAGTCCCGTTCCATAACCACAGCCAAGGCCCGCTGACCTTAAAGGTAGTGTGCCACCTTTGAAAGATTTCCCATTTTATTTTTCCTAGGATAAGAAGCTTCTGTTTTTACCTAATATCGCAAAGAAAATCAAAAATGGGCCTGGAATAGTGCCTTTTTCGCCTAAAAATTTGTCGGTTTTTCTATATGGGGCATTCCACGTCAAATCGAACAAAAATCGGCTGTTTTGCACCTTACCATTAGCGATTTCATTATAAATTTGTGAGCGAGTTCCTTTGTCGCCCCGGACATTACATTGATGTTTTTTGCACATTCTGACCACAGGTCTTCTAAATATAGGGCATCGAATTTTTGCAAAATGTTGCATCTTTATATTTTTGAACGACCATAACTTTGGTTGTACTTGTTTGATTTGAATGAAATAAACCTTACTGTTTAGGTAATTTCTTAAGCATTTGTTTAGAATTGCATCGACTTAAATATATGACCTTGAAATTTGCTTAACTCTGTTCCTAAGCACAAAAATTGAAATAGCAAAAAACACGCCACCTTCGATTTGGCTCATTTTCATATATTTTATTGCCTACCATATTCTTAACAACCTGTGAAAAAATTAGAGTGGGCCATTCATAAGTTTTGAAGAAAATGGCACACATGCAAACGTATGTTAGCACGCGCAGTGGAGGGGAAAGAGTGAATTTCGCCCCAGCCCTCCTGTTTTTCGCCAATATCTCATAATATTGATGCGAAATTACTTATGGCTACCTGTCCAGAATTGAATTGCACATCTCATCGTGCAAGCAATAAGAAAATCGGTTCACAACTGTTCTAGTAATAGCGGTGTAATGTAAACATCCTGTCGCCGCGGCGACGCGGCGACTCGGCAGCCGGCGCCGACCGCTACGCGCCGCCTGAATTGTAGACTGTGCCGGGACGGAACGGAACGGTTCCGTCTTTACATCGCGCTCCTTACCGCTGATTACGTTCGATTCGCGTCAAATTTTGTGAGAAGACTAAGAAATGTACAGGCAATCTTATGGTGAAAGAATTCTGAAAATAGGTTGGTAAACAATTGAAATATGAACGTGTAAACACAAAATTGTGACTGCTGCGTTTCCCGCGTCGGCCGATCCCGCCTCAGCCGGCGACATGTTACTCTTAGCAGGACTCTAACTGCCATATTTATTATCGGATTAACTAGAAATTCCCCATACATACTCAAAAGTGTATGTTCTTTCGTATAGTGAAGATCAAAAGACGTGAAGATATCGTTGCGTGATAATGTTTTCGTTGAATTTATTTCATGATGCATTTCCACACGGCTCAAAATTCACCGCAAAATACCGTTTGCCTGAGACACTTTTACAATGGAACGTGAATGCTTGACTACGATGACTATGCATTTCCATTCTCGCAGAGTTTGGGATATCACTAATCAGCAATCATTCATTTCAGAAAGTGTACACAAGCAAGCATGTCTTGACTCTGTCTTTCAAGGTCACGCGCGGTTGCGTGATGTTGATGCATGAAAACGGCGTTTGCCGCGAAAGTTATGAATGGCCCATTCCAATTTTTTCACAGATGGTTAGGAACATTGTGACGGACATAATATGTAAAAATTACTCAAATCGAAGGGGGCGTGTTTCTTGCTATTTAAATTTTTATGTTTTAATTCAAGGTCAAATGCATTTCAAGGTCACTTTAATTTAATTTTATAATTAAAAATCAAAGCCTTATCAATTGCCTACAAGACCCTGTTAATATCATTTTGATACCAGAAAAGGAACCAGAGTTATAAGCATTTTAAAAAATGATGTGTGGCATTTTTGGCTATATTCGATGACCTATATCTCGGCGATACGTTATCAAATTTCGAAAATATTATACGTAACTCAGTTTTGAACCATGCCCAGTCTGCCTACAAATTTTCAGAAAAATCGAAGGGGATGACGGATTTCGGTGTTTGATTTGACGTGGAATGCCCCATATGTATAACAACTGTAGTGGGCTGACCTGCAAACAGGCGTCGGCAACAATCGCGAATGCGGCGCACATGTGACAATAAGCAAAGGTCACTATAGAGTTACGACGTACGGGAATGAGTTATCAGCTGTCTAATCGTAGACAACACAATGTCGAGCCTTAAACTGTAAGCCTGTACTGGTATTGTTTCTTTTATTTGGCTGTCGAACATTATTTATGGTTTGAAATATGATTTTATGTAAAATAATTGATATGAAAAAGCCGTCTCTTAACCCGCGCCCTGCTGGGGGGGGGGGGTGTTTGAACATCCCCCCTTGTGGTTTTTCGCGAATATCTCAAAAACGGCGGCGCGGAGCGCCGCCGTTTTTGGTACACCTTATCATACATAAATTCTACACATGTTGTGAAAATTTCAGACCAAGGTCATTCAAGGTCAGGTCACCAGGTCACTTGAAGTGACCTCACCTCATAAAAAGTTTAAATGTCTGTCATAGCTACACCAAGTGACCGATCGCTTTGAAACTTTCAGCGATTGCTAAGAGCAATAGCATGTACAAAATGTATTTCTCAGAATTTTGATATCGATGACCTAAGGTCAGGTCAATTTTGCGACCTCCCCATTATAAGTCAATGGGAGAAAATTGAAATGCGCCTCTTTTGGACGAAAGACATTATAAACACTCCCAAACACCGAATTACAAGTGGTTTAGACACACAGAACATGAAAATGGTGTCCGTGACCCTTGTTTATGCCCTGAGGTCATCTTAGGTCACGAATGGTATCTAACAGTTTTTCGCAAATAACTTTTGATAGAGGCATGCTAGAGCGATGAAAACGCCTTAGATGTGTTCAGCTCGACGATACGGATCGACTGATATGCAATATGATCCTTTCCGGTCAGGTCATGACCTTGACCTGAGGTCAAATTTTCAAATTGACCTTTCAAGGTCAAATTATAGTTCATTCGATGCGTCTTGACGAGAGAAACACGATGCCGGTAAAAGTAAGCTCGTACAAGGCTTGGGTCAAAAGTTATTGCAGAAAAACTATTTCCAAAAAATCGGCCATTTTTGCAGTTTTTGCCCCCTGCAGGCAAAACCGTTGACGTTAGGTCAAATCTGAGAGAATTACTCAGAAGGGGCGTTAATAGGGCTATCGAATGCGCTTTTCCGCGGCGCTGTAGCTCTATTGGTTCCCGAGTTATGCGTTGGCTTCTTGGAAGTTTTCGACATTCGACCTGGAAATCGGCGAAATTTTGCCTTCTATGACCTCTGGTGACCTGACCTTTGACCTGACCAAAAAATTGACCGAAGTGATTTCGTCATTATTTTTTACGCTGTTTCGAACGCCGCCTTCCGCGTATCGCTACGTGGTCCAGGAGCCGAGTTACAAGGGGGGGTGTTC